CAAAGCATTGGAAATGTGCATATCACAGCATCTGTAACAAAACCAAGCTAACTTTTGCCATACAAGTGAGATGATAAGATTAATGTTTTAATGTAAAGGATTCACTTGTACTTTTCACTCTTTAGTTGCCATCGCCGCTGCACGCAAGCTTTCACATCGTTTGTTTGACAACAAACCTGATTGGAAATTAGATTACACCAACATTCCTACGGTTGTGTTTGCACATCCTCCCATTGGTACAATTGGACTTACTGAAGGTAAGTTGTCATTACCTGTGTTAGTTATCTAACATGTTGATATATAGAATGTATAGTATGACAAAAATCTGTTTTCAAAATTGTCTATGATGTGCATGTATGTAACTTCAATTTGAAAATTTAACTGAACATGGCCGACTGGCATCCATTTTTTTGGACAAATTCTATTCCAGACGTACATGTCATACTTGTCATACTTTATACGTGTATACATATGCACATACAATAATGTTGTCATCTCATCACAAATAGCTGCTAGACTGCTGACCATAACACAAATAGCTGCTAGACTGCTGACCATAACACAAATAGCTGCTAGACTGCTGACCATAACACAAATAGCTGCTAGACTGCTGACCATAACACAAATAGCTGCTAGACTGCTGACCATAACACAAATAGCTGCTAGACTGCTGACCATAACACAAATAGCTGCTAGACTGCTGACCATAACACAAATAGCTGCTAGACTGCTGACCATAACACAAATAGCTGCTAGACTGCTGACCATAACACAAATAGCTGCTAGACTGCTGACCATAACACAAATAGCTGCTAGACTGCTGACCATAACACAAATAGCTGCTAGACTGCTGACCATAACACAAATAGCTGCTAGACTGCTGACCATAACACAAATAGCTGCTAGACTGCTGACCATAACACAAATAGCTGCTAGACTGCTGACCATAACACAAATAGCTGCTAGACTGCTGACCATAACACAAATAGCTGCTAGACTGCTGACCATAACACAAATAGCTGCTAGACTGCTGACCATAACACAAATAGCTGCTAGACTGCTGACCATAACACAAATAGCTGCTAGACTGCTGACCATAACACAAATTACGTATGTAATCTCGAACAAGATACATATTGTAGTTGACATAGACGTATTATTTAGTGAGCTACCGTATATACAATGGAAATACATTTGCAACAGCCATGTTCTTTATGTACAGTAGATGCTAGACTGAATTAGACGCAAACTTACTCTTAAGGCAAAAAATTCTGTTAATTATATATTTAATACTCACTTTATGATAAAAAACAGAATTCTACATGGTCTTACTGTGCATTGCAAACTGCAGCTGATGCTAAATATGACAAGATTTCTGTAGTTTGACATTTTTATTTTTTGTTTCTACAGCTGAAGCCGAGAATAAATATGGCAAAGACAATTTGAAAATTTACCATTCAAATTTCTTGGCGATGTATCATGCAGTCACTGAAAGGAAACCTAGAACACTTATGAAATTAATCTGTGCTGGGCCGGAAGAAAAGGTAGTGTATTGTTTGATTGCAATGCTGCTCTTTGTAGTTCTGAAATCTAAAACTGAAATTTAACATTTCTTGCATGTTTTATCAGCAATTTTGAAAATTTGGGTTACCATTTTCTAAAGACCGTAAAGAACCAAACTACGTGTATTTTACCTCAGAAATTGACAATGTGTCAAAACACATTAATCCAAAATTCATATTTAGTTGAAACCATACAATATTACTGTAAAATACTTTATTTTCACTTAGAATTTATTTTCGCTGAAGGGATGATTCAGTGAAAATATAATCTAGCGAATATACCTTTTTCCTATATTTTACATTCAATTTGTCAAAAATCAGTGAAAATAAATTCCATACAAAACACTCGAAAGCCTTTTCAGCAAAAATTAATTCCAGCTAAAATAAAGTATTTTACAGTACTTGGCTTTATTTCCATAATGGTTCTGGTCTGAGAATTGGTACTTCACTTCCTGATGATTTAGTCTGAGATATAATTTTAGGTTAAGCTCAATCTGGTTAAAATTTGATGTCGGTGTAGGTCATCACACTTGTTTATGTTTTGGTCCCATGTACAATGACAGGTTGCCAGTATTGGTCGTTCACATCCAAAAATAAAATAATGGCGATGTTTGCTGCTGCTGTTATTAGATATACAAATGTTCCATGTTAATAAAAACAACTTAGAGGCAACGTTGTCACACCAAATCAAAATCTAGTGTCATCAAGTGTGTTAGTTATGAATCATCTACATGCTGGTTGGAAAAAATGCATAGGACGTCACAGTGTGACTCCAATCTTTTTTTCATATTTTATTCATTCTAATTTTTAGCTCCGCTGTCGACTTTGTCGAGCGGAGCTTATCATATGAGTGATTGTCCATCGTCGTCCGTGTCAATGTTTTACTTTTTCGACTTCTTCTTGAAAACTACTAGCCTGAATGCTTTATACTTGGTGTATATGTACCTTGGGTAGACCTCTCTTAGATTTGTTCATTTCATGTTGATATCTTCAATTCTCTAATTTTGTTGAATATTTTTGTCATTTTTAGTAAAAAGTGATATTTTCAACTTCTTGTTAAAAATCCAATTGCTTTGATATTACATATATAGGTACTACATGTGGACCTCTCTCAGATTTGTTCATTTCGTGATGATACATGTATCTTTAATTATCTAATTTTGATGAATATTTTTGGTAAAAGGTTATAGTTTTTCGTATTCTTGTTGAAAACATTAAGTCTGATTGCTTTGATACAATGTACTATACATATTGTTCATTTTCTAATGATATCTTCAGTTCTTTAATTGAAATGTGCATTGCTAACAGCGGAGCTATCTCAGCCGACAGGCTGCTTGTTTAAATATGAAATATAACTGAATAACAGCAAGTTATTCAAGTGAAAGCAGCATTTAACAAACTAATTAAGGTATAGCCTTCATGGTTCACATGGTTATAATGTAAACATTCATCCTATCACATTTTTCTTAATCGCTAGGTTGTTGGTCTGCATATGCAGGGTAATGGGTGTGATGAGATGTTACAAGGTTTCTCTGTTGCTATCAAGATGGGTGCTACTAAAGCTGACTTTGACAACACTGTGGCAATTCATCCTACTTCATCAGAAGAACTTGTTACTTTGCGCTGATGCTCACTCAATTCATAAAATAGCATTTATTTTTCAATGTATAGTATTGTATAAAATTCTGAGATAAGACATATTTTTATCTTTATTAAGATACTATTTTACAATTATTAATAATAATAATAATAATAACAAAAGATTTTCCAATAAGTGCAATGTTTTAAGTTTTCTGTTAACTGTCATCTGAATGTTCCTTTCGTCAAGTTTTCACTTGAGTGAAAAATTCTTAAGAATCAAAAATTTTGCCTGAGTGCAGTGAGGATATTTTAAGGATTTGTTTCACACGTCAGTCTGAAAATGGTCGCTCATGTAAACAAGTATAACCAAGATCAAGTGAATGTTTTTAATGTATTATTTAATGTACATGAGGGTGGTATACAACAACAAAAATTTCGCTACTAGAGGGCGACATTACTAAACTAAAATGTATGTCAGGTATTCAACTCTATTTAATGTTTTCACTCGGGTTGAACAATAAACTATGGATTAATACTGTACAGACTGCAAACCATGGATGTACAATTGTCTTCTTTTTGCGTTTCTATTCTTATTATATACTTCATTACTGTGAATCATATTGCTTTCACATTATCTATCTCAATAATCAGAGCAATGTTAGTTGCCAGGCCTCTTGTTTAAAAGCTAAAATATTTTCTTTAGATTTTACAATAAACGATAAATAATCCATTTTTTAAATGTATGATGTGAACATTGTTTTTTACTAGATGCATAAGAAACAATTGTTTGTACTGGTTCTAAATCAATGTTAAATGGTATCTGGTACGATTTCTAAAAGACTGAATTAAACCCACAAGGAAAAAATTATAATTTGGAAAAAAGTTTGTCGATTGTATAAACTTGTATTGCAAACATTACAACAATAATTATTTTTTGGAAAATGTCACCCCGTTAACTTCCCTAAATAAATTTGGAAATTTTACAAGCAGTGAATTTGCAGAGCAAGTTATTTTCGGCACCTGACCTTATTTTATTTATTTGTCTCAACTTATTTTATGATATTACTTTCGTAATTCCAAAAATAAGATTATGTTATTAAGGGGGCTACGTGTCACTCTTAGTTATAACAAAATAGATTAGAGTTACGAACAGTATAATACATATATTTCACAGTAATGCTTGTTCATACGACTCTGCTACCAGGTCTAGACTTCCTATGGGGGTCATTACAAGTTCTAAAAGTGAGATTGCAACGTGTAAAGTGATTTCTATGACCCTGTCGTGCTTATCACGTTATTGTACATATCATAAATTCATTCATATATTGATTGATGGATAGGTATTTATGAGATACCTACCAGAGATATTTTGATTGGGTCAAAAAAGCTAGCTTTTGCAAATAACACGATCATTTCTTATATGAGGCTTTGACAAACCAGTTAAACAATCTTAAAAAAATAAACAGATGACACAAGAACTGTAGTTAAACTAAGTTTTTCCAAGTTCAAAAATATTGTGCTATTTTCCCCAAAATAGTATTGTGTATAAAGTGACAAACTGTTCATAAAACATCTTTTCCGATATGAGTCTAATGCGACGTATTCAACGCGTGTAAAGTAATTTTTTTTACACGAAATGATGTCTACCAATAGAAAAATATCAATTCATCGAAAATCGATCGCTTCCAACCCTCAGTCTCCGTACATTCAAGTTCTGGGCCACGGCAACCTTGTCACGTGTAAAATCTGCGACAAAAATAAAAATGTGGTATGATAAATCCAGGGGTGAATTCTACCCAACTTATATGTAAATAAGATGATTTAAGGTTTCATAAAACTGTCGCCAAGATATGGTATATATACGTCTCGGTGCATGCGACTTTACAGTGACTTGTCCTGACTGTGAGTTCAAGATACAGGTGTACAGCAGGTGAGTCTCGTATTAATTCAAGTACAACATTTTTGATAAGTTTTCGTGCTATCGTATGACATAAATGCACAGGAATGAGCACCAATGGGGAGGGGGTGACGAAAAACAAAATGCTAAGAAGTCCAAATTATCATATTCGAACGACCTTAGTAACTTTGCTCGTTACAGACTGCAACATCTGCGAAATAGTCCCTAATACCACGATCTGTTAAAATGGCTATTGTGTCTTCATCTTTGTATTTGTACCAATACAATGTTAACATTATTTATGTCTGTTGTTAGGTGCAACTTAGTTGTTTCTCAAGTTGACATAGTGCAGCACATTTTTCGCATTGCCAGCGTTGTCTCCCTCCATGGTTTACGCTAACACTTGTAATGAAATGCACGCTTTTATACACACTATAGCATACAAATGAATGGGGGAATTACACCATACTTTGATTCTAATAGAGGTGTGAAACAAGGCTGCAACTTAAGTCCCCAGTTGTTTAATATTTATGTCAATGGTATTTGTGATGTTGTTAACAATTTTGACCCAGTGGATTTGAAAGGTGTGAAATTTAACTGTATTTTATATGCGGATGATCTTCTGTTGCTATCAACTTGTCATGATGGTCTACAGAAGAGCATTGATGCCATTCAAAATTACTTCCATAAATGGAAATTAAAAGTTAACAAAACAAATCTAAAATTATAGTTTTCATTAGCACTGGTAAAGACAAAATTCAATTCTACATTAACCAGCTTGGCATCACTTTTCAATCAAATGGGAAATTTAGTACAACCACAGCAAGGTTGTATGAAAAAGCTCACAAAGCATCATTTAAAATGTATAAAATGCTTTGGGATTCAAATGAATGCCATTCAGTGAGTGTAGCCTGTAAACTGTTTGATTCAGTTATTCTTTATGGGTCAGAGGTTTGGGGTAGTTTTCTAACTAATCTATTTAGCGGAACTGGCAATAGCAAATCAGAGATTGATAATACTATCAGGGGGAAATTCTTCTCCTCTGGGGTTCTCCACACGTGTCAGGGGGGGAATCTCGTCTCGTCTCTCTATCTCGTCCCCTTGAGGTACGGGATCGGGAAAGTCACTTTAACTTTACAGTCAAATAAGACACACGCAACGAAATACGTTTCAACTCTCGTCTTAGTCGATCAGTCGAGCACTCTATAAAACACAGCGCCCTGGGAAAAAATCCCCAAGACTATCGCAAGACTGACCCAAGACTGCCTATAGACTGCGTCAAGACTCGCCCCAAGACTCTCCAGGACTGGACTCTCTGTCGTGGAGTACTCCCCAAGACCAACTCAAACAACTTTATTCATTTTCAAAACTCTAACAAATTACAATGCAGTAAAAAGACTCTAAGGCGTAACCTTCAATCATAAAGCCAATCACACTAAGTACTGAACACGTCATATCTTTTGATTAATTGTTCACTACATTAATAACTACGAATACCAACTGTCAGAAATAGTAGTCCGAATAGCGACGGTTATCTCGTAATTAGTTCCAAATCACTGAGTCGAGTTCCGTCCAGGACCTCGCCTGCCTAAACGATGACAGACATAACACAGCCATTCGCTAATAATCAGCTAATTAAGTCGGTCAACAGATACGCAAAAACAATTTCATCATAGTACTGTTTTGTATCAAAGCTATTATCTGACAAAATATTACCAGAAAAACTTCATATAAAGTTTTGTAAGAGCGTTTTGGAAGTACACAGGAAGGCATCAAATATTGCTTGGAGAGGTGGATGATATAAAAAACAAAAAACACAGAGTAGCATTAACCAAATTCCGTATTTCAGCCCACTTCTTGCAAATTGAAACAGGCCGTCACAGGGGAATAAATAAAATTGCCAGAGTATGTAACAAGTGTGACTCTAATGACGTG